ATCGGGTTGAGGTCAGGACTCTGACTGGGCCACTCCAGAAGGCGTATTCTGTGCTGTTGCAGCCATTGTTTTGTTGAATTACTTGTATGCTTTGGGTCATTGTCCTGGTGCATCACCCATCCTCTGCGGAGCTTCAGTTGGCGGACAGATGGTCGTACGTTTTCCTGCAAAATGTCTTGATAAACTCTGGAATTCATTTTCCCATCAATGACAACAATCCGTCCAGGCCCTGATGCAGCAAAGCAGCCCCAAACCATGATGCTCCCTCCGCCATGTTTTACAGTGGGGATGAGGTTTTGATGTTGGTGTGCTGTGCCTTTTTTTCTCCACACATAGTGTTGTGTGTTCTTCCCAAACAACTCTATCTTGGTTTCATCTGTCCACAGTATATTTTGCCAGTAGTGCTGTGGAACATCCAGGTGCTCTTTTGTAAACTTCAAACGTGCTGCAATATTCTTTTTGGACAGCAATGGCTTCCTCCGTGGTGTCCTCCCATGTACTCCATTCTTGTTTAATGTTTTTCTTATTGTAGATGTGTCAACAAAAATGTTAGCATGTGCCAGAGATTTCTGTAGGTCTTTAGCTTACACTCTGGGATTCTTCTTTACCTCATGCAGCATTCTGCGCTGTGCTCTTGCAGTCATTTTTACAGGATGACCATGCCCAGGGAGAGTAGCAACAGTGCTAAACTTTCTCCATTTGTAGACAGTCTGTCTTACCGTGGACACATGAACATCAAGGCTTTTGGAGATACTTTTGTAACCCTTTCCAGCTTCATGCAAGTCAACAATTCTTATTCGTAGGTCTTCTGAGAGCTCTTTTCTGCGAGGCATGGTTCACATCAGACAGTGCTTCTTGAAACCAGTAAACCCAAAACAGGTGTGTGTTTTTTAAGGGCAGGATAGCTGTCAGCAACACATCCAATATCATCACACTGATTGGAGTCAAGGTTGGCTCACTCCTGGCTCCAATTAGCTCTGGGAGAAGTCATTAAGCTAGGGCCTCGCATACTTTTTCTTCCCTGCACTGTGAATGTTTACATGTTATGTGCATTTAAACCATGGCAACATCTAATGTTTGTGTAGTATTATGTTCAGCAGACTGTGTTCTTCTATTGTTGTGACTTAGATGACGTTCAGAGCACATTTTATGCCCAATTCATGCAAAGCGCCACGTAATCCCAAGGGTTTACATATTTGTTCTTGCAACTGTACTTCTAACTAACTGGGGCATATCCAAATGCCAAATGTACTTACCTAAAGCCACAGTCACAGGACAATCCTCCCTTCTTCTGTTTACTTTCTGTGGTCCTTCTTCTGGTGTCCACATCATTGCCTGCACAATGTGGACACCTTCTATTGGTGACATTTCCAGCAGCTGGGTCATCTCTCATGGGCTCCAGAAGCAGAACAACTCACTGGAGCAGTGAAGGAAATACTACCCAAGAAGATAACAAACAGGGAAAAATGCCTGCTCCCCTGGACAGAAAATTAGCTTGCCTCTGAGAAAATTGTGACTTTGATCTATTACACTGATGGTTGGCTTAGGATAAGGTGTTTGGAATTTAGACTGAGAAGTAAGGTAATTAAAGCACAACGCACTATTGAATTTCATTTCTGCCTTGGGTTTTACAGTACTCTCATTCATCAGATTCTGATTGTTTGGTTTATTATCAAAATGTTAAATTATCAAATCTAAGAAAAGTCAAACTATACAGTATCTCACGCCCCTCACATTTTTGTAAATATTTTATTAGATCTTTTCATGTGACAACACTGAAGAAATGAAACTTTGCTACAATATAGTAGTGAGTGTACAGCTTGTATAACAGTGTAAATTTGCTGTCCCCTCAAAATAACTCAACACACAGCCATTAATGTCTAAACCGCTGGCAACAAAAGTGAGTACATCCCTAAGTGAAAATGTCCAAATTGGGCACAATTAGCCATTTTCCCTCCCTGGTGTCATGGGACTCGTTAATGTTACAAGGTCTCAGTTGTGAATGGGGAGCAGGCATGTTACATTTGGTGTTTTTTGCTCTCACTCTCTCATACTGGTCACTGGAAGTTCAACAGGGTACCTTGTGGCAAAGAACTCTCTAAGAATGTGAAAAAAAAAATAATTGCTGCTCTACATAAAGATTGTCTATGCTATAAGAAGATTGCCAAGACCCTGAAACTGAGCTGCAGCACGGTGGCCAAGACCATACAGTGATTTAACAGGATAGTTTCCACTCGGAACAGACCTCGCCATGGTCGACCAAAGAAGTTGAGTGCATATGCTCAGCATCATATCCAGAGGTTGTCTTTGGGAAAAGGACGTGAGTGCTGCCAGCATTGCTGCAGAGGTTGAATGGGTTGGTGGGGGGGGGTGGTCAGCCTGTCAGTGCTCAGATTATACGCCACAAACTGCATCAAATTGGTCTGCATGGCTGTCGTCCCAGAAGGAAGCCTCTTCTAGAGATGATGTACAAGAAAATCCGCAGTTTGCTGAAGTCAAGCATACTAAGGACATGGATTACTGGAACCATGTCCTGTGGTCTGATGAAACCAAGATAAACTTATTTGGTTCAGATGGTGTCAAGTGTGTCTGGGAGCAACCAGGTGAGGAGTACAAAGACAAGTCTGTCTTGCCTACAGTCAAGCATGGTGGTGGGTGCGTCATGGTCTGGGGCTGCATGAGTGCTGCCATCACTGGGGAGCTACAATTCATTGAGAGAACCATGAATGCCAACATGTACTGTGACATACTAAAGCAGAGCATGATCCCCTCCCTTCAGAGAGACTAGGCCGTCTAGGGCAGTATTCCAATAAGATAACCCCAAACACACCTCCACGATGACCACTGCCTTGCTAAAGAAGCTGAGGGTAAAGGTGATGGATTGGCCAAGTATGTCTCCAGACCTAAACCCTATTGAGCATCTGTAGGGCATCCTCAAACGGATGGTGGAAGAGCGCAAGGTCTCTAACATCCACCAGCTCTATGATGTCATCATGGAGGAGTGGAAGAGGACTCCAGTGGCAACCTGTGAAGGTCTGGTGAACTCCATGCCCAAGGGGGTTAAGGCAGTGCAGGAAAATAATGGTGGCCACACAAACTATAGACACTTTGGGCCCAGTTTGGACATTTTCACTTAGGGGTGTACTTACTTTTGTTGCCTGCGGTTTAGACATTAATGGCTGTATATTGAGTTATTTTGTGGGGACAGCAAATTTTCACTGTTATACAAGCTTCAGTGTTGTCACATAAAAAGATCTAATAAAATATTTACAAAAATGTGAGGGGGTACTCACTTCTGTGAGATACTGTATGGAGGAGTTCTTTCAGTCAGTTCTTTTTAAGTTGATTCTGAAAAGCAAAGTGCTGTTTTTAATGGGTTTGCAATGTGTGTAGTGTAACCAGACATATTTATTTAGTATTTTATGACACTGAAAACTTATGCAATTAAAATAAGTCAGAATAAATAGCTTTACTGATTACACTGTTCAACAGGTAAAAAGTTTTGGGCATAAAATTAGCTAATCTATCTTACATAATTTTGGGGTGCTGAAAACGAAAATGACCCTAAAAAATGTTGATTGGCTCTAGTTTCCATGATATATTCACCCATCTAATGACGTAAGCCATTCAAAATTATGATGCAACTTCAGCTGCATATTGCGCAATTGATACTGGTGACCAATAGAAAATTGCATGTATACTGAGATGATGCAATATTAGCCTTTAATTGCATCACTTCACTGCATAAAAGCTGCAGTATCTGTAGCTGATTGTAGTTCGACAGCGTCTTTACATTTCGTTTTATGCTTATATAGGCTACTCAGTAATGCCTCGAACTTGTGTGAATAAAGCAGATAATTTCTGCTATATCTGCGGTGAAATAACTTTTATCTCACAAAAAAGGAGGATAACAGGAATGATTAAGAAAGCCTACAACTTGTATTTTGGCTGCAAGATAGGAGACCAGGACAAGAGCTGGGCACCACATATATGCTGCAGTTCTTGTGGGACGGCACTGGAGCAATGGTTGAATGGAAAAAAGGCATCTATGCCTTTCGCTGTGCCAATGATTTGGAGAGAGCCAACAGATCATGTTAGTAATTGTTACTTTTGTATGGTGCCTCCAATTGTAAAAGGGCTAAATAAGAAGAAAAAGTTATCTGTGCACTATCCAAATATTCCATCGGCAATACGTCCAGTTCCTCATGGAGAGGGGCTACCAATTCCTAAAGCACCAGAATCCTTCGTGGTTGAGTCAAGTGAGGAAGAACCTGAAGCGTGTAGTCACGTGCAGTTGTAAGAGATAGCCCTTTCCTCGAATACAAGAGAAAAGCCAAGAGAAGCAAAACCGACACAAACTGAAGACAAAACTAGTGAGAATCCTAAGTATTAAAATGATTCAACTTAGCTTATGGCTATAATTTTTCTTGGTAATCCTATGCAATATATTATGCCATTTAGGCTTTGTTATGTAGTCAATATCACTTGCTTTATATTTGTGGAAAGACATCTATCTATATAATTATTGTAGTCATTACGCCTATAGTAGAAAACTTTCCGTTTACAGAAAAACTAGAGCCAATTAACAAATTTCATTGTTATATTTGAACTCAGAATGTGAAATTCATTAAGAAATGGATCCTTTTGTTTCCAAAACTGGTAAAAAATAAAAATTTGTTGAACAGTGTTAGTTTTAAGAAAAAGCAAAAACTGCGATCTAAAGAAAATATTCCCAAATACAAATTAACTTTTAGACTGGTTTAGCAAAAAAAAAAAAAAAAAAAAAAAGTGTACCTAGCTTTAAACATACACAGATTGATTAACCACCTCCCGCCCGCCATATAGTACAACGACGGGCACAAGGTGGTTCTCTTGTTCTGGGAGAACATCATATGACGTCGCCCCATTCTAACCACGCATGCGCGGCTCCGGGAGTGCGCAGCGAGACGATCGGTGGTGCACTGTGTCCCTCGGACATAGCGGATCACCGATCGACAGAAAGAGCCGAAGATGTCGGCTCGTTCATGTGATCAGCTGTGTCCAATCACAGCTGATTGCATGTAAATAGGGAAATGCCGGTTACCGGCATTTCTCTCCTCACGAGCTGTCACGCTGACAGCTCAAGAGGAGAGGAGAGCCTGTAATCGGCATTCCTCAGAGGGGACATGTACAATGATCATCAGAGCAATGATGATCAGTGTGCCCTGATGATCTGTGCAGCCCCAGCAGTGCCACCTGTCAGTGCTCATCCATGCCACCTGCCAGTGCCCATCAGTGCCAACCAGTGCACATCAATTCCACATATCAGCGCCCATCTGAGCTGCCTATCAGTGCCAGTCAGAGCCGCCTATCAGTGCAATATATGAGTGCTGCCTTTCAGTGCCCATCAGTGATGCCTGTCAATGCCCATCAGTGCCACCTACCAGTGCCTCCTCATCAGTGCCACCTATCAGGTGTCCATCACTGCAGCCTCATTAGCGCACATCAGCAAAGGAGAAAAATCACTTATTTAAAAAATTTTTATAACAAAAACTAAGAAAAAACTTTTTTTTTTTTCAAAATTTTCAGTGGTTTTTGGTTTAAGAAAAAAATAAAAAAAAACCCAGAGGTGATTAAATACCACCAAAATAAAGCTCCATCTGTCACAAAAAAAATGATAAAAATGTCATATGGATACAGTGTTGCATGATCGCGCAATTGTCATTCAAAGTGTGACAGCGCTGAAAGCTGGAAATTGGCCTGGGCAGGAAGGGGGTATAAGTGCCCTGTAGGCTAGTGGTTAAATAAACATTTACAACCTGACCTATGTGTGTTAAAAACCAAACACAAGACCTTTTAAAATGTGTGTAAAATATAGCAATAGAGGATCTACATAATATAACATAAGTTATAACTTATTATATAAATATATAATTACATAAATAGGATCACTATCTTAATTATTGTTTGTCATTGCTTGTTTAATTTCTCAGGCTTTAACTAATAATAATTACATTATGAAATCACATTTACTATCATTTTCCATATTCAGAACTTTGCTAGTCATATAGGGTGTTTAGAAAACATATACATACACTATATTGCCAAAAGTATTGGGACACCCCTCCAAATTATTATTATTATTATTATTATTATACAGGATTTATATAGTGCCAACAGTTTGCACAGCGCTTTACAAAATGAAGGTAGACATTACAGTTACAATACAATTTGGTACAAGAGGAAACAAACAGAGGACCCTGCTCGTTCACTGAATTCAGGTTTATCAATTACCTCCATGGCCACAGGTGTATAAAATCAAGCACCTAGGCATACAGACTGCTTCTACAAACATTTGTGAAAGAATGGGTTGCTTTCAGTAGCTCCGTGAATTCAAGCGTGGTACTGTGATAGGTTGCCACCTGTACAATAAGTCTATCCGTGAAATTTCCTTGCTACTAAATATTCCACGGTCAACTGTTCATGGTATTATAACAAAGTGAAAGCAACTGGGAACAACAGCAACTCAGCCACAAAGTGGTAGGCCATGTAAAATGACAGAGCGGGGTCAGCACATGCTGAAGCGCACAATGCGCAAGTCGCCAACTGTCTGCAGAGTCAATGGCTAAAAGACCTCCAACCTTCGTGTGGCCTTCACATTAGCACAACAGTGCCTAAAGAGCTTCATGGAATGGGTTTTCATAACCGAGCAGCTGCATCCAAGCCTTACATCACCAAGTGCAATGCAAAGCTTCGGATGCAGTGGTGTAAAGCACGCCACCACTGGACTTTAGAGTAGTGGAGACATGGTCTCTGGAGTGACAAATCACACTTCCCTGTCTGGCAATCCGATAGACATGTCTGGGTTTAGCGGTTGCCAGGAGAATAACTGCATTGTGCCAAGTGTAAAGTTTGGTGAAGGGGGGGATTATGGCGTGGGGTTGTTTTCCAGGGGTTGGGCTTCGCCCCTTAGTTCCAGTGAAGGTCGCACTTAAGGCGTCAGCATACCAAGCCATTTTGGACAATTTCATGCTCCCAACTTTGTGAGAACAGTTTGGGGATGGTCCCTTCTTGTTCCAACATGACTGCGCATCAGTGCACAAAGCAAGGTCCATAAAGACATGGATGAGTGAGTTTGGGGTGGAGTATTTGACTGTCCTACACAGTCCTGACCTCAACCTGATATAACACCTTTGGAATGAATTAAAGTAGAGACTGCGAGCCAGGCCTTCTGATCTGACATCAGTGCCTGACCTCACAAATTTGCTTCTGGAAGAATGGTCAAACATTCCCATAGACACACAGCCTTCCCATAAGAGTTGATGTTGTTATAGCTGCAAAGGGTGGGCCAACTCAATATTGAACCCTACGGACTAAGACTGGGATGCCATTAAAGTTCATGTGCGTGTAAAGGCAGATGTCCCAATACTTTTGGCAATATAGTGTATATGCATGCATATGTAGCGCTCAACCCCCGAAGGAGTCGCTGGAATTATTGGGCACTTCTGTCCTTACTTCAGTGATGAACCATACAGTATATATATTGGGATATAGGTAAGCGAGCGCTCAAAAATCAGCTGCTGGAACACTCCAAGGAATCACCAGACCTCATAACATGAATAATAAATAATAATATAGTGCAGCACTGTAATGCTAATAGGGATATAAGTAAATAAAAGTAAGTAAATTTAAATAAAATAAAAGTTCATAGAGTCCTTTATACAGTAAAAAATGATTGCAAACGAAAGTTTTGTGAAGACCTCCTCAGCATTAGATAGGTGACTGGAACCAAATAGATAAAGTGTGCGCTCACCGACCCGCGCATTTAAAATGCGCATGTATGCAATTTTATCCAGGTAATCGGCCAGGCATGTGGATCAGCCAAACGTATAGGTCATCCCTCTCAGGTAAAAACATCAGCCTTGGGTGCAGTAATAAGCTTCTAGGTGCAGAGAGCCTTCTTGCCCAAAGTGTTAAGGTAGGTTTAAGCTCCCTCTCCTGGTTGCAAGGTACCCTAGGAATTGGCTGCTGTAAATCTGGAACCCTCCAACAAGAGGGTCAAAAAAACAGAGAGGGAATGCCAATAGTGTAGTAGGTTCAAACTTAGTTTATTAGATCAATAGTAACATACTAGCCTGGGTCAGATGCATATATAAACACTGTCAGCAATCAAGCGGACTGGTAAGTAAGATAAAAATAAAAATAAAATATACATGCACTAACCCAGCAAGTTAAAAAGGGGGGCCACCGGACCTCCTTGTGGTCCCGGTGGTCAGGAAGTCACACTTGCTGCTGGCTCCTCCTGAGGCCTTTCGTGTTACGGCACTTCATCAGAGGGTGGACGCCATTAGCAGTGTGACTAGAAAGACTTCCTATTTAAACGCGGTTCGCGCATGCGCGCGCGCAAATCCCGCTCTAATGTCAGAAGCGAAAAAAGTAACTGCGCATGCGCGCACTCTCAATAGCCGCCATTTTACCGTGGGCTGTAGATGCGCGAAAATGAACTGCGCATGCGCCACTCGATAGCCGCCATTTTGCCATGGATCATGGGCAGTAAGCTGTGCAAACTGACAGCTACTGCAAGAAGAATGTAGACAAGGCACATATGACTAGTGCCGATTACCCGGGGCTAATAGAAGAACCGCGATTGATCCGATCAGAGTGATAATTGATCCGATCCGACCCGAATATAACCTCCCCCCAGGGCAAGTGTCCAGGTATATAAGCTACTGCTTAAAAGGAGATATCCAGGTATATAAGCCAATGCTTAAAAAGGTATATAAGCCACTGCTCAAAAACAAGGTGCCCCAGGAATTATTCACCCCCTGTTGTCCATAAGGGGAACCTAGTCAACTTCTTGACATATATTATTACATCCATGGCATTGATGCTAGAGTGGTTACACATATATAAAAATCAAATATAATTGGTAGATAAACATTATATGTGCATACAACCTCTATATCTAAAAACGCATACAGACGTTGAAAAATGCGGCATCTCCTGCTGACATACATTCTTATCATGAGTCACCATTTTGCCGTGGATCATAAACCGCAATCTGTGTAAATGTACATCAGTATCATAATCCCAAAAAGGGGTTTTTTTACTAAACGGTAAATTATGCCTATAAGGGGTGAATATCGCTATCCCACTTCTCTAGGGCCTATTAAAAGCACAATAAAAAAAAAAAAAAATAAATAAATAAAAACCCATTCAGAGTATATACTCCAAAGACACGTCATCCCTTAATTTGGATGTAAGAGAATGTCATATATCCTTATTAGGTATATGTAACATCTACTATATCATCCATGGCCTAAGGTGCTCTACATATAGATGCTACATTTCATTAAAATATATAAAAATATATATTTCATAATAATTCATAAAAATGCACTTCATAAAAATTATATAATTCGCAAAAAAGATATATATATATATAATATTTCTATATTTCATAAAAGGGGGGCCCCTAAAACCCTAGCTATAAACCAGGGCATGTGGTAAACACAATGGGGAATACATCATTGTCTTAGCTATTGGCAATGAAGCAATTAATATCCACCTCTCAACATTGTGTCCATGAGGGTGAAGTGTACGTAGTTCATAGACCCAGCGAGTCTCTGCCTGGGAAACAGTTCTGGTCTTATGAAGCACCCTCCAATGCGGGGATATTACCTCTATACCCATAAATTTTAATGAAGTAGGATCCCTATTATGGAAAAGCCTGTAATGGTTGGATAGCGAATGATCTTTATAGCCTTTATGTTCGCCACATGCTCACGTAGGCGATCCCGTAGGCGTCTGGTTGTCCGTCCTACATACTGTTTCTTACAGTGGCAACTAAGAAGGTAGACCACGAACTTACTGTGACATGATATGAATTGCTTGATATCATATGATTTTCCGGTTGATGATGAGGTAAAAGTATCAATCTTCCGCTTACGGGTATTGTCACACCTGCATATAATGCACTTATTGCACGGGTGGAATCCCTTCAGTTCATTAAAAAAGGCGTTTAAATAGGAAGTCTTTCTAGTCACACTGCTAATGGAGTCCACCCTCTGATGAAGTGCCGTAGCACGAAAGGCCTCAGGAGGAGCCAGCAGCAAGTGTGACTTCCTGACCACCGGGACCACAAGGAGGTCCGGTGGCCCCCCTTTTTAACTTGCCGGGTTAGTGCATGTATATTTTATTTTTTTTTATCTTACTTACCGTATATACTCGAGTATAAACCGAGTTTTTCAGCACATTTTTTGTGCTGAAAAACGGCCCCCTCGGCTTATACTCGAGTCAACGTCTGCAGATGACATGCCGTCCCTGTCATCTGGACACACCCCCGGAATCAATCCTCGCCGGTGATTGGCCACTGGAACTGTAGCTCAGGAGAGGCACACAGGCGCCCAATCACCGGCGAGGAGGTGGAGCTTGGAAAGGAGGAGCCGAGCGGCACCGCGAAG